ACCCCCCCTCACCATACTTGGCAGCACTGTATCAGCAGTAGAGTCCTTCAGGTTCCCGGGCTCCACTATCTCCGTGGACCTGAAGTGGACGTCCAACATCAGGACCATCACCAAGAAGGCACAGCAGAGGATGTACTTCCTGCACCAGCTCAGGAAGTTTGAGCTGCTGATACAGTTCTACAGAGGAATCATCAAGTCTGTTTTCTGCACCTCCATCACTGTCTGGTTTGGCTCAGCAACCAAACAGGACAAATACAGACTTCAGCAGACAGTCAGGACTGCAGAAAAGATCATTGGTGTGAGCCTGCCCTCCATGGAGGATCTGTACACCGCACGGGTCAAAAGGAGGGCAGAGAGGATCATTGCAGACCCCTCACACCCTGGACACAACCTGTTTGAACTCCTCCTCTCTGGACGACGCTACAGGTCATTGTGCACCAAGACAACCAGGCACAAGGACAGTTTCTTCCCCGGGGCCGTCACTCTGATGAACACTTGAACCACAACGGTATGACTGGACAATAACCCTCAGTGCAATACGTGTAAATATACATTGTACAGATTATACAGATCAGTACAGGTCTCTATTTTAAGTATTTTGATTCCTACTTATCCCATTTCAATGAGCATTTCTTTGTCTGTCTGCATTGTTTACTGCACTGTTTGTTGCTTGTTAATACTGCTTATTTTGTTATATTACACAGCCTTATGCTGGTTTACTGTTTACTTGCCCCTTGCATGGGGATATGTACATACACATTGAGAGCCGATGTACCAGAGTCAAATTCCTCGTGTGCCTGACACACCTGGCTAATAAAGCTGATTCTGATTCTGATCTGATTGCTAATTTTTAAGATATTGTGTTAATTATAAACAAAGCTATCAGAAAATTGGACTGAAAACATAACTTTGTCATTAAAAATGTAAATAATGTTGTCTATTACTGTTTACCAGATGTTTTGTATTTGTGTTTCAGGCATTTCAGAAGTGTTTATCCAAAGCAAAGCGAATCGTTATTGTTGGAAATGGAGGAATTGCCTTGGAATTAGTGTGAGTAAACTAAAGCCAGATTGTGTGATTGAGTTTTTATTTCTTTGACACAATATTTGTTATCTAAATTACAATTTGTTTGAGGTTCTGACGCACGTTACGCCTGTGTTGTGTGAAATCCCTTCATATAATATTACCAGGATGTTTAGACATTATTTACACTGTCCACTCATGAATTCTGTGTTAATAAATGTGTACTTTGAAGGTATGAGGTAGAGGGCTGCGAGGTGATTTGGGCTGTGAAGGACAAGGCCATAGGAAACACCTTCTTTGATGCAGGGGCGGCAGAGTTCCTCATCCCATCACTGGAGGCTGACAAAACAGAGAGTACTGCTTCCTGTAAAAGGCCTCGCTACACCACAGAGGAACCTGCACCTGGAGCCTCACAGACTGCAGGTTTTCACCTTATGCCCCACAAAGAATTTTCATTTCCTTCCTTTAATAATCACATGGCTTATACAATATGTGTATGTGTGTTTGCCTGCTCCAAGATAAAAATTTGCAAGGGCATGATTCTGGTCCTACAGAATTTGGCAGTGCCCTCGGTCCCGATTGGCATGAAGGAATTGTTTTCCGAGGAGCAGAGCAGGTGAGATGGGAAATATGTGCTACAAATAAATCTGTATCTACATTCTGCTATGTTATACTGTCTTCCTGTCCTCCCATGTTTCCTCTCTCTGCTTGTGTGTGTGCTCAGGTGTCCCGCAGAGTTACTATGGAATACCAATGTGAGGTAGAAAAGCTCTTCACCTCTGAGGAGCTGCTTAATTCCCCACAGCAAACACTCAAACCTGAGAATGGTGAGAACTAGATTTGCTGCTCAGATTCCTTCTCTCACTCCATTTTTTTCGCCTTCCACCTGTTTTTCTTTAAATGTAGGGTTGGTGATCCTGCACCAAACCACCAAGAGGAAGCTTGATTAAGAAAGTAGACAAATCCCGCCCTTTCTTTCTGACTTCTCTCCAAAGCCACTCCTCCAAAACACAAAGCACGCTACAATGCACACTGCCTGACTACTACTTACAGATTTCAGGAAAATAACAAATTTCCCCCCCAAACAAAACAAAACCTGTAATTACCTGTCCAGCAGAAATACGGCCACCATGGTATCACTTTTCAGCCCATTTTTTTTCTCTCAGTTGTTGCCATTGTTCAAAAGTAATGGCGATGCAATGTTAATTTTGGTTTTACTTCTTGCAGCATCCAACTTCTTTTTAGTTTTAACTTTCTCAAATATAGTGTTACCTGCCCAGATCTGTGGCCCCGAACCATAGTTGGGGACCTCTGGTTCATGGCTAGACCGCTTTAGCCCTGGCCAGTAAGTTTTTCTTTATGTTGTCAGTTGTAGTCCAGGCTTTTCGAGCAGTGCAAAATGAAGAGGGAGGCCAGCTAACTCTGTTCAAAATACAGGCTTGGTTCGGTCTTGGTAACATGAACACTGCATGTGGCCTTTGATGTCCAGTTAACTGCATTTCAGTCTTATCTATACACTTAGATCTAACTACCGTTGGTATTTTCCCCAGCTGTGACTGCATGTATAATGAGTCTGTTCTGTGCTGTGGTCTACTTCCTCTCATACTGCTCACATTGCATGCAGATCGCAACTTCTGGCAACAACAACAACATTACCTATAAGGCTATATGTATTAAAGGGGAACGCCTGGCCTGTAGCAAGTCATTAGCTTTACCTGTAAAACATAGTGGTAACACATCTGCCTGCAACTGCAATGCCTTGTGAGAGACCCTTGGCTTGAGCATTGAGTGCAAAGGCAGAGTGCACGCAAGTAGGAAGTAGGTTGACAGGCAGGTAGACCATTCAGTGGTTTTGCTTGGGACGAGTAAAATTATTGCTCAGGCTTTTTTTTTTCCAGCCCTTCTGCTGCCAGAGATGACAGATTTTTTTTCTTTATGTTGTCAGTGCATTTAATGTATTCATTGCTATTGGGATGAAAAGGGAATTTCAAGAAATGTAACAAAAAATACTTCTGAAAGGAATCGCCAACCCTACATTTAAGATTGTCTTCCCTCTCAGGGCAATCCTGGCCAGTTTACATCCAGCTGACCAATGGCAAAACATTTGGCTGTGATTTTGTTGTGAGCGCCACTGGTGTGGTGCCAAACACGGAGCCATTTCTCCATGGCAACAACGTAAGTGGCTCAGTAACCACACCGAGGTATGTGTAAAGCTGTGGGTAATGCTTTAAATTCTCGAGATGATAAAGCTGTGGTGCAAAAATAATCCCTGTCCATCTTGAAAATCAAGTCCATTTCTCAGCAGTTGGGTTTAAGGCCTTTAGATGTCACTATAGGACAAATGAGCCTGGAGCTGTATTCACAAGTTGCTCCTAAGTGGTCAAGTTAGGAGAAACTCCTAAAAATAAGGGGTGTGACTGTCTAAACTTTAGGATGTCCAAGCCTTTGAGCCCTAAAACTGCCTCCAAAATCTGAGTGAGGATAGAGGCAGTGCAGAGGGGTTCTAAGTCACTAAGACCTAATCACAGTCAGTATTGTGCTGCAGGTGATGTCTTGTTGTGTCAGTTAATAGATAGATAGATAGATAGATAGATAGATAGATAAAATTTTGATGGGTTGAGTTTGTTCAGCAACAAGTCCAGTGGTAAGATATATTCACTGTGAATATGCCCTCTGGTTTCCAGCCTATGGAAAGCTGCTGTGTTTTCAACAAAGAGCCACAGCATTAAAACTGCCATAAACATTTTACACGCAAACCAACAGTTTTACTTGTATGTGCTAAGTTTGAACTTGCGGATGACGGCGGGCTCCAAGTAGATGACCACATGATGACAACAGAGCCAGATGTCTATGCGGCAGGAGACGTGTGCACTGCATGCTGGGAACACAGCCCACTGTGGCAGCAGGTAAACTAACTGACAAATCTTTGCATCAACTTACATAGAAGGCAGGTTGACTGACCCGGTACACTGACTGCACTTTTAGAAACTACAGTTAGTAGGATACTGCCTGGTTATTTTCCTTCATACTAAATTATGTCATCTCCCACATCAGACTCCATGCTAGAGGTGTGAAAATATATATATAGCAGCTGTACAAATGTAAATTATTAAAAGCAACTTAACTGGTTCTGTTAATTAATAATAAAACACGTGCTGTAAACCTAAAGTTAAAAGGCAAGGGGATATCCTTGATAGATGTCAATGAGTCTGTTTGTGAATTTACATGTGAATGTACAGCAAAATAATAATGTAGACATGGACGAAAACATGTATTATAAAACAGCTGTGCTGGGCATATTTATTGTCAGCAGAAAGCCACAGTGGCAGTTTAGTCAGGGTGTTTGAGGCTGAAAAATAGTGATAGTTTTCTTCTGTAAATCTGAATCTCATATTGTGTGTTGCATGTAGATGCGTTTGTGGACGCAAGCCCGTCAGATGGGCTGGTACGCGGGCCGCTGCATGGCAGCATACGTCCTGTCAGAACCAATAGAACTGGACTTCTGCTTTGAGCTCTTCTCACATATTACCAAATTCTTCAACTACAAGGTGTGTAACATTTTACTGCAGGGCAGGAAAGTTATGTAAATAATAACCAGTATGTTAAATATCTACTATGTAAATTATAACTGTTTTTTATTACTTTCAAGAACATTCAAGGTCACTTCACACTCAGTGCTCTACTCATTTCCAACAACACCCTTGCTTCTGGTTATACCACAGGTGGTGTTGCTGGGAAAGTTTAATGGGCAGGGGCTGGGGCCCAACCATGAGCTGCTGGTACGCTGCACTAAAGGGCAGGAGTATGTCAAGGTGACACTGAGCAGAATAAAAATGTATAAATGCCCTTGTCTTTCAACTGTGCCAGACAGTTTTTTTCCTTTTGTCTCAAATACCAACATTGATTGACTCAAATGAACAAAGGATTTGTTATTCTGCACACAGACTTAATGAACTGTTACTGTGGTGCTGGTGGCATCTGAAAAATATGCCATGTCATAAATGTTTACATTTTTGTTGGTCTGAAAAGAACAAATGTTGTTCAATGTGTAATCCATCTCTGTGCATGATCTCATACTTGGTTTGAGCCAGGAACAAAGAAAGATAAAACTTGATCTGTGAGTAATTTATTGAAAATTGTGGTGGTAAAGAAATATTAAGATGCCTGTGCTCACATTTCACTGCCTGGTCCCTACTGGAGAAAATTCAACATTTACTGTGGTTTTCACACTGATTGCTCTTGGCTTTCTGTTTCAGGTTGTTCTCAGTGGGGGCAAGATGGTGGGAGCAGTGCTGATTGGGGAAACAGACCTGGAGGAGACCTTTGAGAACCTGATCCTCAACCAGATGGATCTAACAATGTATGGAGAAGAGCTGCTCAACCCCAACATTGATATAGAGGACTACTTTGATTGAGCACCAGGTCTTTGATTGGGACTTTTGAGAATGTTGAGCACAGCAAACACAGACCCTTCAAAGTGGAAGAAACCATACCTGAAGAATGTCTAAGAGCATGGGTTCTTTATTGTCTGAAATTCAAGCTAATGGAGTGTTATAAAGGAGCATTTATCTTTGTTTTAATGCATTTGTAAATTAAAGGATATAATATTGCTTTAAAATAAATTATTTTCAAAACCACATACTAAATTGGTATTTTATATATTCAGAACAGGTCATTTCTATTTAGTTGTGCACTGACTGGCCACTTTAATAGGCACACCTGCACAATTGTATGCATTTCAGTTCAACACTTCCTCCTTAACATCTGTGTTTATGAAGCTCAAAATGTTTCAGTTTTCAGTGGAATTGCAATAATTCTATACATTCAATTACATGTTAATTATTGAGGTCATAGTTAAAGGTGGTGTTGTAGTGGTCTACATTATATCAAAGTCAATGTGTATGTCATACTGTATGTACAATAAGAAAACATATTTCCCTGCTCAATGAAATTCTTCCTTTGCTGTCCACAATGAATACCAAACAATATAGTCTAAATATAAAATAAAAATAGATAAACAATAATACAAAATAAAGGCACTTTAAAAACAGCAAGTGAAAAATATAGTAAGAATATATCCTACAATCAGCTGTATGTGCAACAGTCAAGCAATGGATGTGCAATAATGCATGTGCAAACTCAAAATGTAAACAGTACAGGTGGCGTTACATGAAGTAATTCCTGATTATAAACTGCTGTCAGCTGTTTAGGAGTCTGATGGCAGTGGGAAAGAACGAGTTTTTCAGTCTAGAAGTCCTGCATTTCACACTTCTGTACCTCCGGCCTGATGGTATGGGTGTGAACAGTTAATGCTGGGAATGGGTGGGGTCCTTGACAACTGAAGTAGCTCTCCTGCAGACTCTTCGGTGGTAGATGCTCTGCAGAGAGGGCAGTGGAGTCCTGGTGATCTTCTCAGCAGTCTTTACCACTCTCTGCAGGCGCTTGCGGTCCATAGCAGTAGTGCTGTCATACCAGACAGCGATGCAGCTTGTCAAGATGCTCTCAATGATGCAGCTGTAGAAGTTGCCAAGGATCCTAGGTGACATGCCAAACCTCCTCAGCCTCCTCAGGAAGTACAGCCGCTGTTGGACCTTCTTGACCAGCTGTGTGGTGTTAAGTCTCATGTCCACTATCATCTTCTTCGTCTTGTCCGTGTTGAGGCTGAGATTATTGTCCTTGCACCATGACACCAGACTGCCCGCCTCCCTCCTGTAGGCTGCTTCGTCCCCGCCAGTGATGCGACCTATTACTGCGGCGTCGACCGCAAACTCAGAGGTGTTCGTAATATGACCATCTCATGTATGTAGCTGGGGAGGACAAAATATAGAGACTACACCACCTTTAACTGTTACCTCAATAATTAACATGTACTGTAATTAAATCTATATATTTATAAAAATTTCACCAAAGACTGAAACATTTTGAACTTTATAAACACAGATGTGCATACAATTGTACAACTGTGACTATTAAAGTGGCCAGTCAGTGTAGCTTGAATATAAGTCCGTTGCTTCAGTTGCAGATGAGACTGACAGAGTTGAGGGTGAATATGAAGTACAGTGACTGCCACAGTGAGCCACAATTGTGATTGGCAAGCGCATTACTTTATTCAGAAGAACTGGATATGTTCTGTGTTATTTGCTAGTTTAAAAAAAGCTGTTGCTATGTTGCCTTAGTGAGTCTGGATCTAATTTCAGCCTAAAGAGCGACTATTGCTCCTCCTGTGCCTCAGCAGGCACTATAACAATAGACATTATCAATCTAACATAATGATGTGCTTTGTTCCTGGGATGTGTTGCTCTTGGGGGTGTTGCCATTTAAAAAACCTCTGAAAGTCCACCTTTGAAAGGACAAGAAATGCTAGAACTAAAGTGCATAGACAACCACCATTTTCCATTTGCAGGCTGCTCTCCCAGGTGTACAGTAATGTATTTGTGTAGTTGGAGAGCAGGGTATTGTTTATAGGGTGTGTAACACCAGACACACTGGCCCATGCAACAAGATCAAATTCAACTCTGTTATGGGAACTAGAAAGCAGGGCAGAACAGTGGGCACATTTCAATCCATTGCACTGTTTTATACTATATTTTACCAAGCAATGAGTCAGATCTGGCATGAGTACTATGCCATGTTGAATGGGGCTCATGTTAGCAGTGCAGTGAGAGACTGAAAAGGGTAGATCTTTTAAGTCAAGGAACTAATTTATGTAGTAGTTTTTACATAGTTTTTACCATTAAGTTGACCAGTTTTAAATCTAAATATAAATCTAGCCACAGGAGTTGCAAGCCAGTGACTTCTGTGCTGGTCCCAAGCCCGGATAAATAGAGAGGGTTGTGTCAGGAAGGGCATGCCAAATTTAAACATGCGAATCATCAGTGCGAATTCCATACCGGATCGATCGAGGCCCAGGTTAACAATGACCGCCACCAGTGCTGTTGACCTACAGGGTGCTGGTGGAAATTGGACTACTGTTGGTCGAAGAAAGAGAGGAGGTAGAAGGATTTGTAGACAGAGAGAGAAGAGGAAAGGCAGGAGTATAGGTCTGAGAATAGGGACTCTTAACGTGGGCACAATGACAGCGAAAGGTAGAAAGCTGGCGGACATGATGGAGAGAAGGAAGGTAGATATACTGTGTGTGCAGGAGACCAGGTGGAAGGGTAGCAAAGTGCATAATATTGGAGGGGGATACAAATTGTTTTATTATGGTGTGGACAGGAAGAGAAATGGGGTAGGAGTGATCCTGAAGGAGGAGCTCATGAGGAATGTTTTAGAGGTGAAAAGAGTGTCAGACAGGGTGATCAGTTTGAAGTTGGAAATTGAAGGGGTAATGTTGCATGTAGTCAGTGGTTATGCTCCACATGTAGGGTGTGAGTTAGAAGAGAAGGAGAGATTCTGGAGTGAGTTAGATGAGGTGATGGAGAGTATTCCCAGAGGGGAGAGAGTGGTGATTGGGGCAGACTTCAACGGGCACGTTGGTGAGGGGAACAAAGGTGATGAGGAGGTGATGGGCAGGTTTGGTGTTAAGGGAAGGAACCTAGAAGGACAGATGGTGGTGGACTTTGCTAAGAGGATGGAAATGGCTGTAGTTAACACCTATTTCCAGAAGAGGGAGAAACATAGAGTTA